AGAAAGTCTGTGTATTTTTAAAATATTTGTTTAAATTAGTTAACTAATGAGTTTACATGTAATCCTCATGAAAATGGTTTTCACGTATGCATTTTCAGATCGAAAGGGGGGGGGGGTGAATATTGTGAGGTTTCTCATTTTTCCTCTGGATATGTTGTATATGCTTACAGAAATTGAAGAAAAAAAATTTCAAAAGTATTGAGTTCCTTTGGAAGTTATTGTACAGTACATTGGAAGTTATTGTACGGCTAAGCTCCGCCCCCTAGAAGTTATAGTACGCTGGAATTCAGCCAAAGGTTTTCTATCTGATTTAAAGTATGGCTAACATCAAAAGAAAAAGTACCGCACCATGACACAATGTTTAATTGTGACATAAATGTCGATGTCATATTTTAATATTGAACATACCTAACTTATCAACATATTGCTGAATTGTAAAGATGTTTCATCAATACAAATAATCAAGATGATGAAGGAAAATATATAATGTATTCCAAAAGAAAATAAGCTTTGTAGGATGCTTATCGCAAGACTAGTAACAAAGTTTGAAAGGACAAGGAGGGGCAGTATGCTATAACTGAAAAATAATCCAGAAACACTAAGAACTTCAAAAACCGAAGATTTAATTGAGGTGGAGACTCCTGATACTTTAGCAAACTCCTCATAAAAGTGTCAGGTAGATGTTTTCAGAAACTGATGCTGACAATATAAAAATCTCCAGGGTATATTGAGATATATTTGAAATATAATGTGAAATTATTAAGTGAATGTACAATTTCCTTATAATACAACCCCAAGGAAAGAGATTAACCCCTACATTTGCCAGATCTCAGTCTTTGGGCCTTTTTCTGTAGGTGTTCCTTAAGAACAGGGTCTACAATCCTAAACCACAGATACTGAATGAACTCAAAGAGAACACGAAATCTTCAAAATGGAGTGTATCAGCATAACTGTATGACAATAGTTATAAAAAATTCAAGACACAACTTTTTCTGAGTTGAAAAAATGACGCAAATTAGAAATTGTGTGTGTGGTTTTTTTTTTTCATCAATGGTCGAGATTTTGTCCAAGATTTAAGAGCCATTCTCTGTAATGACTTTAACTTTTATATAGGAGCTGTGCCATGCATAGTCTCAGAATTTCTCCAAACTCTCTATGATAAAAGTCTTTGATACCGTAAACTCAAATCAGGCAAATATTGGTTGCTACGTGTCATGGTTACCATAGCAACATGTCCTAAAATTTGAAAAATGGCATTTTTCAACATGTTCAGAGTCCCACAGTTAACGTTTGCAGCAAAGCAAACAAGTGCCAATGACTGTTTCTAAAAGTTGAGGGCCTGATGTCTTAAAAGCATGATAAACATGTTTGGTAATTCAACTATTATATACGTTACTATGAAAAAAACAAAGTATTCAAAAGTAAAAATTTTGTTCATTTAATTTTATAAAGTCATACACTTAAGATTAAAAACAATTATAGGTTGAAATGCAAGCAAATAATAGACAAGAGATCCTTGTAACATATACCAAGGACGAAATATGATATTTCTTATAGGTTGGCAATGGTTGGCTTGCCATGGTTTTAATACCACAAAGGGATTTTAAATTTACTCTCTTAGTGTTTTAATCTTATCCTATCTTTTTAAAAAGCATATTTCTATATAACTGAGGATCAATTTTTAAAGGCGTTGTTGTGATTCTAATTTTCACATTTCAAAAAATTCAAATTCAACTCTTTAAATAGAGCGTTGCTATGGAAATAAGCCGAAAAATTTGCATAAAAATCTGAAAAATATTCTGTTTCCTTGGATACGTACCCTTGTATGTAGATTCCCAAAACTTTTATGATGGATAAATATGGACAACTAACCTGACTTTCAATTTTTACTACCACCCAATCTCTAACTGGATGCAAAAAGCTGGCACATGGGACTTAATATTGATATAAAATTAACAAAATCGAACATTTTTCCTTCTTGGTAACCATAGCAACAGTGTTGTATTTTTCTACAAACTTTATCAATATATGATATTCAACTTTAGTTCTACCAGATAAGTACTATTCAAGGTGAGTCAAATAATATGTTTCTTGATTAAAAGGTAAGTAAATTACTAAAGCAGCAAAAAAATATCACTTTAAACAACTGGTATGTTGTTTCCATGGATACACTGCAAAGTAACAATTAATCCCAATTTTTCTTATGTTGTCAGTGTTGCAAGGTCCGAAGGATGTATATGTATATCTACAGAGTCTGACACATCTGTTTCATATTTGGATATTTTTTACTTAAAAAAGACGTTAATGGTAATCTAACAACCAAGCTTTATGATAAACGTGATGGCTTTAACTTTTCAATCGTCAACTTCCCTTACTTATGCAGCAATATACCTTCATCACCAGCATACAGGTTTATATCTCTCAGTTGATTCGATACGCAAGAGCATGCTCTACGTATGTACAATTTCTAAAACGAGGTAAATTATTGACAAACAAGTTGATGAAACAAGAATATCAGCAGTCTCGTTTAAAGTCATCATTTCGAAAGTTCTATGGTCGATACAATGACCTTGTCAGCAAATATAATTTATCATTGAGTCAAATGCTGACGTTTTTCATACTAATTGTTAGGCCATTATTTACACACTGAATTGTCGACGGATTTTTCCGTTATTTCCCGATCATGACAAGGAGCACACGGCGAGTGTGACCGGTCGGCAGGAGATGTTCACTCCTCCATGGCACCTGATCCCACCTCTGATGTTTTGGAGGTCCTTGTTTGCTCTGCACCTATTTTGTAATGTTTAATGGACTTTTGAGCTTGGATGCTGTTCGTTATCTCCATATATTTCATTTAAAGCGTCCCCAAATTCAAACAATGTCGATTCTCCAGGACTATTTTCCCTACGAATAATTTAGTCGTAGTGTAACTTACAGTGAGCTTCTTGAGCTTGCTCAAGATGCATCATCCACGTAAGTTTGGTTTAAGGAGTAGCAGACATAGATATGGACTTGTTCCTGAAGTTTTTATATTGCACTTATTCGAAAAAATATATAAAGGTGAGGTGCAGTATTTGAAGATTGTGTATTGGCTGGTAGTTTGCATACCAAAACGCACCATCCTTGCAAGTTTACTGAATGGTTAGTCAACACTTGGAGACTTTTAACATGATCAGATTTGTGACAAAGCCGCCACTTGCGGTGTATGTTCAGTAGCTATGCAGACTGGCATAGCACTTTTAAAAAAATTCGAACCTCGTAATCAACAAGCATTCGACAAAATGGGCGTGTTCAAAGCAAACTTCTTGCGATATGTAGCCTTGATGTACATGTACATTAACTGACTACCTACAGGTCGAACATTGTCAATACGGAAGTTTCTGTTTAACCTGAGCACCAAAGATTCATACTCAAGGTCACGTGGTTCAATTGTAATTTATTGTATTCATCGAACTTTGTCATCCTTTAACAAACATCTAGAAACCCAACTGAGATTCATTTGGAGAACTTCCAAAGAGAGAGAGAGAGAGAGAGAGATGTAAAATTGACCATGGCTCTGTGAATAAAGAAGCAGCCAATCACAGAATATCTGGTTGACTTACCCGTCCTTTGAATACTTTGTAAACACATTCCCGGTGAAAAAGTCTTCAGATATATATATATATAAAATCGCATTCCGCGCCCGTGTTACATATTTCCTTTCATATATATATTGTCTTCTTTTATAGACGATATATAAAGATGACACATAAACCCATCCCCACCCTCTAAATTTTCACTTAGATTTTACCATGACCCCAACTTGGATGTCGGACAGAGAATTTTTTATAACTGACATTCCATGCAATGGTTACACCGCTGTATTCTGGACGCGATTTATTACAATACTTAGGATTTTCTATAACAGACATCCAAGGCCCCATAGGGCTGTTTTAAACCGTTTAAAATAAATTAAAATATATCATAGTTAATTCATGGATATCATGCTTTGAGCGGGCACACGCATATAATACATAATACCCGATGCGACAAAAAGCGGAGTCTTTAATTAAGGTAGTCCGATCCTAAGGTTTTGAAAATCAGGCATTGAATAATTGGAAATGCTCACAAAAATGTCTCTGGATTCTCAAAGTAATGTGAATTTACCCACGGTAATTGTTCAAACTTCATCTTTAAAGTAAATCATATTATATAGGAAAAATTAGTAAATCTCAAATAAATTTTCAGGAAATGCGAATAAAGACACCTACTATGCATTTTCTAATTAGAAATTGATCAACAAATACATTGTAGGATAAAAAAAAAAACTATAGGTATCCAGACATTTGAAGAAAATTACATGATTTTTATACTTACACAGTACTTTAGTTTCTTCTGTATACTTCAATTATTTTATAATGCATAGTTTAATTATAAAGTGTTTCCTATCATTGCAAAACACCATAAATCATTTCTAATTTCATATCATGCTAATTAGCATTGGTATCTAAGGCTAAATTAAAGGAAAAGTGATCAAAAGTCTGTTTCTTTAAATTTGTATTTTAACATACCTTTGTAGGGTAAAAATATCAACGTTTGAAAAGGCAGTTTCTAAAACTTCGAAGAACCTTGCTTGAATCACATCGAGTTGCATAAAATGAAAATTGTTACATAAAAAGATTTCATATTTAGGCTTCATTGTGAGACTTTTTGAATTAAATAATAAAGAGTTATCCTTCCTGGCCGAGGATCGGATATCCTTAATCGAAGGATTTTTACAATGCTTGGATATGTAGCTCTCTGGTTTGTCTGTCCGAATTCTCAACCAGAGAGCTAACGTAACAGTTCTGTAGCTACCCAAACCCTAAGACGTGTGCTACAGCGCATTACTTGAGAGTTTTTGCCTAGCTTAGAAACATACTTGTATTATAATAATGCAATGTATGTAGATGCAATTCATGGGAATATCGTGACTTCAAGGAATATCAAGTGAAAAGACTGAATTACAACTAAAACAGTAATTGTTTCTTTTTCATGTATATTGCGTATCAAGCAAAATCTATAATAATATTCAATCTTCCATTCTAAAACCTTACATTAATAAGAAGATAAACAATTTATTTCCCAAGAGAAAAGCTATTGATAAACTATTCCTTCGTATTGTTTAAATCATGTCTTTAAAATTTAAAAATATAATAAATATGTTTTAATTGTTTAAATTTCATTTCCGCTCTATAAAAAATGTTACACAGCTGTTTTAGGTCTCCGAACTCGTATGCTTCTCATTTTCTTTCGCTTTAGGTTAGTCAAGGTCTCTTTTTCATTTTCTGATATAGAATCTCGTCTTTGGGAGTAAAATGTCTTTCCAGGGATTATTGCGTTGCGACTGCGCGGTCGGGGCACCCTTTGTGTAGGTGTAGCTGGTTTTGGAGGTTGGTGGGCCTGTAGTCCTAATTTTTCAAAGTCCCTTACAATATCGGGACTGACGGGCGTGTCCGGCCGAGGTCTGAGATCTTTGGGTTTGAAAGACGCTTGTCCACGGCTGTATGTTGTATTCCCCGACTTCGGTCGTCCTAAAAGTAAGTTGTTTGCGTTTATCATCTTTGCATTATTTTTTAACTGACAAGATTTACAAGCACGTGGTAGAGGTTTACTTTGCGTTTGCTTTTCCTCGTCGATACGAGGCTGACGCATGCGTTGATCATATTTTGTCTCTTTACATTGAGAACTAATACAGAATACTTGTCTACAATATTCACATACATTAAATTGCACATTTTTCTCGGGACAGTCCCCGGTACAAGCAGGCTGTAAACACCTGTTACAGCATCTGCGATCACGTATTATAGGCTTGGCACTCGTAACACGCTTTGATTTCCGGTTTACCTGAGATCGTTTACATTCCCACTCCTCTGTATCTATTTGAAGACGTTCTAACTCAACCAGACGGTCTAGCATTAAGTCTAAATTGTCTTTCGCTTTAGCTCGTGTATGATCCCTCCAGTTCCATTTTAACCTTGCCATTTGCCGTAAATCCAAGTCACTAAATGGTTCGGGAATGGGGTCAGCGAATTCATATGGAGGGATGTCAACATGATCTGCATCAAAGTCGTACTTCCGCCATCCTTTAGAGGAATCTGGAACGACGAACGAATCCAGTTTTTCGGGTCTGAGTATTAGATCCGGAACTTCTCGATTTTTATCGATTTCCGGTTCAAAATCACTATCTTCGTCATCAGAGCTACTTCCGCTACTGTCGTCGTCAGTCTGACTGCTTTCAATTCCGCTTGTGCTATTGTCTTCATCTTTCTCCTTGCTCCTTTTGCTTTTTTCAGCTTTTAATTTCTCACTGTCATCTTCATCATCTTTTTCGTTGTCACTTCCGGGAATTCGATCTCCGAATGTCTGCTGTTTGTAAGAGTCACCAATTAGGGACGATAACACTCGAGGGTTTAAGGAATCAAATGGACCTGGTCTAACATCACTCGGTGTCTCACAGCGTCGGGCGTTAGCGGGCACTGACCGAGGCCTGCGCATGCGCTGTGCATAACATCTTGAAGGTGGAGGGGTGGGGGCTCTAAAAGAAAAAAAGAGCACATGTTGTTAAATGACCTTGGAGTTATCTGCCATATCAAATGGAGATAAATTTATCTCAATATTAAAGAATTCAATGTTGCTTCTGAATAATTTAGAAGGTTTTTCTGCAAATTGGTCTTTAATCTCTGTAACATAATGGTCAAATTATTGTTAAACGAAATTCCAGTATGCATGTTAACACACTATTTTGCAATATGTCGATTACGGTCTTTCATTTGATTATGAATTAGCAGCATTTAAGGTGGTTGATATTTAGAAAATAATTGTCCTTGGCAAAATATTAATAATGCAAGCGCACTTAGTAATCTGTTTATTGTAAAACTGAAGCACATTAAGAAATTTTCGTTTTCCTTTTGCAGTCTACAGTATTCATCACAATCCACCGGTAGATTTCGAGAAATTTAATTACTGCCGTTAAGTGAAAAAAATGTTTACAGCTGATAGTTCAAAAAATATGCATGAAAATAAGATGCTATCACTGTGAGCCTTTCTGTTCAATTTGAAAAAATCCAAAGGACAGAAACGATTTGCTTTTCAACCTCTTGATGACTGAAACCAGTAGATAATAGTAGAGACCTACATATATACTACATGTACAGCTGTAGGTCTTTCATTATTGGTTTGCAATTAATTTTTTGTGATGAAATACAATAAATTAATTTACCCTTCACCAAGTACCCGGTGACAAGCAAAGTGCATTAGAATATTTAATATCAATTTATTAATTCTATACATGTACATGTATTTCTGTTGCGTTGTGCAACTATTATGCCCAAGTGTCTTTAAGCGCCTGCCTGATTGCGATGGACTTCCGCCAACACCAGATGGTGCTGTAATATTGCATGAGTGAGTTTTACCTGATCGAAGGAAGGAAGGATCGAGAACGAGGAACTCTTAACCCTGATCTGTTTCTTATCCTAACACAGGAAAACACGTGAAATAAAGCAAAGTTTTCAATCTGATGATCAAGGAACCATTGCTGTTTTTATTATTTACACAATGAATTTTCTCGACAAGTATTATTAACTTAAAGTGTATTAAGATCAAACGACACGTTCCTTTATAGTATATAATTTTTTTCCAAGAATATGTCATTGAAGTATTGCTACTTTCACAAGTTTCCTAACAAAAAATTAAGGTACCTTACCAGGCATTTGTGCAAGATACCAGAGGATGCTATTTACCATATAATCCTATTGGAAATCACTACCATTCCCAATATCACAATGTTTTGGTGTCTTTATTTACTTAGACATTTTGAAAACGGTTTAAAAATCATAAGATAATGATGATTATGATAAATTTGTTGTATATACAAAACAGATTATCGAGCAACGTGTCGTCAGACCTTAAATGAAAGCTCTCCTGTTGAAACCAGGAAAAAAAAATAACGTAAAATAATATACAATAGGTACTTATTATTTTTCTCTCTCTAATTTATGAATCTAGCACGGTATAGTCTAGATGTATTTGATAAAGAGAGTTGACAATGATATAACAAGTGTTAAGAGAAACCTGATATAAACAAAGACGAGATAAAGTTTCTATAGTTACCTGTCGGGCTGGGGTTGTTGTATTGGGCGACACCTTAGGAAAGAAGTTTCCTTCTCGTGATAGTCCAGGGGTGGCCAGTCTTTGGGTTTGAACGCCTTCAGACTAGCAGCCAGCTGAGACCGATAGATCTGGGCTCCTGTCTCCACGGGAGAAGGCTGCTGATACAACTTCTGTAAACAAAGGCAGCGATTATTTCATTGAGTTACATATCCCAGCCATTAAATCAAACTGCTGACGTGTTAAGACTCTCACATTGAAGACCACTCTATCACCTAATGCCACTATTGAATAAATCTGTCTCCATAGTCATGCAAAAACTAGGAGAGAATGGTTACCATGGTTACAAACACCAGATATATTTGATCTGTTTAAGAGGTATAATAACGGTTATAGAGAGCAGGTTTTCTGTCCGTTTGTATCTTCAATGAATTTATAGATACTTAAAATACATACACAGGTTGGTTTGTATCAAAAGTCAACAGTTAAAGTCTACTTGGTGATAGCAAGCTGCCCCTAACACCCAGCCACAGGTAAGGCACGACATATTCTGTTTTATTTGATTCTAATAAGCATTTATAGAGCTACTAATATTTTAAATGGGGCATATTTAATTATTTAAATTGATTTTTGTACATCTAACGATTTATCCCTGTAACCCATTACAAACTTGAGACATTCTCGCACATGCAAGTCTCTTCAGGTGTACACGAGAAAATAACACGATTTCTATTTAGAGTATAGTAATGTCAAATCTACTCTAGCTATGTTAATAAAAGATGGCGGACTGCTTTAATTGAAAGAAAAAATACTTGTTAGTAGGAATGATAAAAATGTAGATTTTTTGTGGTAAGTACATGTAGTTCATGCGCGCCAAGTGGAGAAGGAACGGATCTAAAATAAAACCACCACCATTAGCTTACCACTTTTGTCACTGTGTAAGGCAGTTCAAATATCTGTGCAGGAGAAAAATTAAAAAAAAAAAAAGACTGAAATATTTTAATTTCGTGTGTGTGTAAGTTACGAAATGTCAACTTAACCAGTAGCTGATCAGTTTTACAAAGATAATGTTAACTCGACACAAGTCTCCAAACAAAAGTCATTTCAAGTATGATCGACGAAAGATTTCCATGTGGAAAAGTCCGAGCTTCTAGGCTGCTTTCTTTATTCTTAATTAAACTGTGATTTGATGAAGTACACGCTAGAGTGTGGATTGTATTGATTCTACTTCCGTAGCATTCTTTCTTAGGCAGAATGACAAAGGTTCTTGGTCACTGGAAACTTTTCAGTAGTGATGACCGTTGGGATGAGTACATGAGAACATTAGGTATGTTACTTACTATAGAAATTATCTCGTATATTCACGATTCACATACAGTATGTATACTGTAAGATGCGTACAGTCTTATAGGCTTTATAAAAAAGGACAATTAAACTATTGCAATTTATAAATATATATTTCAAGTACATGTACATGATTTTCCATAACATCGTACGGCTTTTGTAAAGTGTCTAGAGAATTTGATAAAAACTCTAAAGAAAGACTCTTAATTCAGCCCTTGAACTTGCTCAGAACTCTAGGTTAATACTGGTTATCAGTGATAAGTGGACTTCTTGGTCTCCTTTGACTTTACTCCACTTAACCGAGTTGAATTTCATGGTCAAAAACGACAGCTCTTGATCAAAGTGTGTGAAGTTTATTATGCTACTGAGAATACGAAATTTTCTTCGACCTTAGGTTAACAAGAATGACATCACAGAAACTATCAAATCGTATTTCCTTTCAATATAACTTTCATCGAATACTATAGTACATGCATAGCATGTAAACATTCTACTGACCCCAAAATACCATTGTAACCGTCTTCTCAAAAATGATACCTGAACAGTCTACTTAAAAGTAGCATTGTAACAGTCTAGCCAAAAATACCAATCGTAACAGACAACCAAAAACACCATTAACATTCTTAAATTCTAGCCAAAAAAATCCTTGTAACAGTCTACCCAAATTACCATTATAACAGTCTACACTGTACCCCCCAAATCCGTCACAACAGTCCACCAATATTCCAACTGAAATTTTGTTCTGTTGTGTTATTTTATTTCAAAACAAATTTTTTCAGGATATCAGAAACTAAATTTAATCATCCTATTTGTAAGACTTTGATATATGTCTTTAGGGATCGGGTTTGTTTTACGTAAAGTGGGGAATTCCATCACGAGCTATGAAGAGCTCAAACAAGATGGAGACACGTGGGAACTGCTTATCACATCCACCTTCAAAAACGCTCATCTCAAATTTAAACTGGGAGAGGAATTTGACGAAACGACGCTAGATGGCAGAAAATGTAAGGTAAGGTGATGTTTCATTCGCCAATTAAGGTAAATGTAACTCAAACTTGATAGTGCTTTAGTCTAGACCATCCAAGACAAATCCATAGACCCAGAGTTCAGTCATGTTAATGCTTAAGAGTTCTGACGGTGCTTTGACCTCTTTACTGATATTCAGCAGTCCAAATGGTCAAATTGTATATATCACAATTATTTATAAACCATAAAACATTCTTATATGCATTTTTTTAAAAATGCCAGTGAATGAAACGCCAAACTATTATCAACAAGAACAAAAGAAGAAATTACTATAGTTATATAGTATTTAATTTAATGTACAAATAACTTGTTCAGAAGGACTTTGTTATTTCAGTCATCCTTCGTAATAGAAGGTGATGACTTAGTTCACTATCAGAAAGGTTTAAAGGAAGACGATGTAGCCTCTAAAATCGTCCGAACACGAGTGGATGAGGAGACGATGACGATTGTAAGTGATTCTATCTGACTTCAAATATCTCTGTGGTCTTGGGTATTATGGACAATAACTAATATACATGTACATTTAAGATGGCTGACACATATAATTTACTTTCTCCGTTCACACAATTAATTACAATTTTAAGCGTGATTTACTAGTAGTGTATTTGAACAAACTAAAGATTTTCTTCTCTGTTATTTTACAGACTCTTGAAGCTATTGGCAAGAATGTTACTACTGTGCGTACTTTTAAACGCTACACACCATAGGACATTGGAATGACCATATTTCCCATAATTTGCATAATATTTTTCCTTGGGCGGTGTTTAAACGTGACGTCATTGCATATTCTGGTTTTTCATGCTCGTGGGAATACGATACGCTCTGTACTTTTAATCCATAAAAGCTGGATATTGAAGTCATGACAGGATTAGAAATAAATCGATTTACAATTGGGATACTTTTTTCATTATATTTCAGCCATAAGCAAGCAACATGTTAGCAGAAAATCGTGGCAAAATGACTCGCATACCCACGGGAGCACGAAATCGCGTACTGCTTTTAATTAACCATGGAAGATAGAACTTTTATTCTTAAAAACTGGATGTTTTACTGATTTGTCAGGAGAAACCTAAAAGAGAATGAGCTAATGAGGTGTATCATTTCCACATCCTTAAGAATATTTTTATTTTCCAGAACTAAGAGACGGTTGTGAAATTCATGAATTCTTGACAAAAGCTGAAAGGTCCTTAAGTTTACAGTATGAATACGAAATGATGATATTCATAATGAATTAAAATAACCATTGTTAGTCTAAGTCTTCACATCACAAAATAAGCTGATTTGGCTGGACTGAAATCTTTCTCATCTTGATATTATTTAAAGGTAAAGTCTCCAACTTTGGTCATTTGCAATTCAAATGAATATCAAACAGTCTACTTAAACAGCAACATACATGAAATAGCCATGAAATCTAAAATGTAGCCACTTGACAATTCTCATACCTGTAAGAGCGCGTACGAGTAGGAGTTTTCGGGTAATGAAATTAGGTCTGGAAACGCCCCGTCACTAAGAATTCCAAAATTGTTACCAACCAGTACTACAGATCACGCTACTGATAACCAGCACAAAGTGATGCACACGACAGAGACCCTTTTATGATAAATATTGTCATTATCTTAATGGCCCTGTCGACAGGAAACAAAATCAATAAGGAAATACCTCTAACGACGCAGGAGGCTGCAGTTTGCTTTGAATTTCAGATATACTTTGAGAAAAGGAAGCTCTCATCTTGGTATGCAATTGTATCGATGATTACAATTATCAGACATGAAAAACAGAAGTCAGTGACACAACATCCATGTTACCAGTCCGGCAATTCTGATTGACAAATGCTGAACAACATCCCAAAACACATCAAGGGACTTCCCTATCCGTAGAGTTGTATACAGTGTAGACTTGAATGTTGAAGTTGAATCGCTTTGAACACACACGCACAAACACACACACAAATGACACAATGGTTGTTAAGCAGTAGCTTTCATTACATGACAAAACAGAAGGTACTAAAAAAGAAGCAAAAAGTTAAACTGAAGACGTTGACGTTTCCGGATTTAACGCTGCTGTTACCTTGTAATTTCGGCGTCTCTTCCTTTTCTTTTTTAGTCGCTTGGTAGCCATGTTTAATTCATCCACTGATATAATTAACATGGTAAATAATCCCTCTATTGTTTCCTGGACAGATGACACAGTTTTTTTAACTGATCTGATGGAAGATTGGCATTGCTCTACCCTTTGTTCTGCTTTGGATTAAATATCCTATGATGACATACCTGCCGATTTTTCGCTAGGTCAATTTGTGCTTTATCGTCTCTCAAACTCAGAGGAAAACCTTCTACATTAATCACACAGCAACACATGTCTCCGTTGTGTCCGGAGAATTATAAGTATTTAATATGCCATATCTCATCAACAGTACAGTTTTATGAACTAAGATATTTATAATCCACAGAGTGGGTTCTAGGTGCATATACCAGGTACAACAATTTCTGGCTCTAAATCTCAGTGAGAGGACATTCAAGGTAAAACAATCAAGCTATACTCTGATTCTTTCTGTACTCCAGCATGCTAGAGGTTCACGGCGACTTGGCGCCGAGGTATATAAGGAGCGTAGGGACGTTAACCGAGGCTCTTACTTGTAGGAGTTATTCTTTCTGCAGTGTCTCTTTCATATATTGCAGGATTGTTTCTTAATTTCTTACCCGGTAAAGAAAGAGCAAAACACAAGAATTACCAAAATGCAGTATGGAATTTGTCCATTGTAAGATTGACAAATCTGCCCTGTTGGGAGTAGTTATAAAATTTCCAGATTTGCATCATTTTAAAACTATTTTATTTTAATGCAAAGACCGTGTAAATTTTATTAATATAGCTTCCTGATTATGTGAGTGTTTTATCATTGTCATGTATTCCAAAGTGACTAACGATCGATTAGTTAAAGCGCTGTTTAAGCAATTGATCTCTCACAACTCACGCTACAAAAATCCACCAAAAGTAACCCTTGATATAAAATTTAAATGCCACAGTTCTTATATACGGTGTATCGGTGCTGTTCGTGCATAAAGTGACAATATACGCCATGTTGAAATTTGTTTACGTAGCAACGAAAGCATGACATTAATTAACTGCACAGCCCATCACACGTGTCATTGTTTACTTTTTACATTTAACAAGCATTGTGTATTTTACAACAAATCCATTACAAAAAGCGTGATTTTATTGACCAACACACTGAACACGTTAATAAGAAAGATAGCTCTGTTCTAAGGATCAGTGAAAGTTCCTACCTGATAAGCAGAAGTCCTGAATTTATTCCGAAGGTTCATGCTGACATCTCGCACCTGTTCTGTGAGCTTCTTAAACTCCACCTGATCATTGGTTGACCAAATTAATGAATCCAAAGTTTCTTTAAAATCGTAATCCATTACAATAGACTATCAGTTAACAAATCAGCACAATTATTGATATATAAAAAGATCAGAGAGGCGAATCGGACATATATCAAATCAATATACATGTCCCAGTTCCAGTTTTTGATATTCTAAATGTAATATGCAACAGATCCACCTCCACATGATATCAATAAAACCCGTCACCACGCATAAAACAATGGCGGGTATTCACATCCACTTTTACCTTGAGCAAAGTTGTCGGGACGTTTTAAATACCAGCGGAAAATGTCGACACAAGTTTACACCTTCTTAGACTTGGAGATATGTTTCTCTAACTTCAGTATTATTATGGAAATGTAATTAAAGTTTAAATGCATTAATACTTTTTGAGTCTTTGTGACAGATTTGAAGGACATTCATTCTTCTTTACGTACCGAGATAATTTTCTAAGTTGCTTTGGATTGGTATAATTTTTAAATGCTTCCCTTATTATTTCACAGAATCAATACGAATTCAGGGTCTTTCAAGGGATCTTTAAATATCTGAGTGACTATTATAATGTATGAAATATGAAATATTTACCTTGGATAACCGGCACAAATTTTCATCTGAAAAACATAGCAGAATTTATGATGATGTTTATTTTCCAGCGGATTTATATGCTTTGAGTACTCTTCTCATCAACTTATATAAATGCTTGATTTAACCGATACTAAGTTCACATATCTCAGAGAGATTTCTTACATGTACTTTATTTTAAAAACTGCAGATCGGATTTTCATATGCAAATAAACAACTAAAAAACTTTCCTACCAATGAATACCAGAAAGAATTCTTTTGTCAGGACAAAATATTGGATACTTACTATCTTTGTCGCTCTTGATAAATTCTGGTAAATCTATCGTTTCTTCTCGTAATTCTACATCACTGGGCGCCCATCCAATATACTTCAGGGTAGCCTGCAAAAAAAGTAAATAATATCCTAATTTTTCACAAATTAAAATTCCAATTCTAATATGAAACACTCCCCCTCCAAATATAAACTTTATAGTTACATTCATTCCTTCCAACTCAGTTGTGTCATCGTTTGTGTCCTCATTTATTTCATCAGATGATAATTTTTAGCTGGTCACTTACCTTGTCAAAGAACCTATAGCCTTTTATTTCAAATGCTAACAACGCATGGATTGAAATGTTTTAAAAATTTTGATCAAGGTCCAATGAAACAACAGGAGTTACCCATTAGGCTTTCTATGGCATTCAATACATAATGACAACAGACATGAATATTGATCAGACGGAACATCAAAGTCTCTATGATTTGACGACAGTTGGAGATAGGACGCTCCCATACACTGCATGATTCAGCAGCCTTAAAATATTAATGTTCAATAAACTTAAACGGGCACCTGTCGTGAACCCCTGGCCAAGTGCACGTGAATTTACATATCATTTATAATTGGCAAGAGCATAAATGATTTAGTGTTAGCTTGTAAATGCCTGGCCCAGTGTTGACAACTTTAAATCATAAATTGGCTGGTGGATTGCAGGGTTAGTGCCGTGTTAAGACAAATAATACTGACCCCTGTTAATTTTACTTCTACAAAAACATTTTTTACGGCTGAGGGGTCATTTTTTCTACGTCAAAAAGTGATCCCGGTCATAATTCTACAGGATCATTATTTCTTTACACTAGCCACTTCTAAAGAGAAAATTTTACATATTATAAACGTAACACAGTCTACATGTGTATGATAGATATGTGATGTATACAGTAAAATACCAATATGATACTTTTCATGATTTTGTCGTTTTCCGACAAATGAAAACTAGAAAGTGCAAACGTTTCTATCAAAATCAAAGAAGGATTTGTGTCCATGCCCATATTGCCTTTAAGTCTCAGAAAGGGTAATAAATTACTCTAAAGCACAAGATGTTTAAGCAGACGGAGACAAACCAACATTCAAATATCTAAAGAGTATAATTACTCAGGTACAATTACGGGTGTTATTTTTTTTAAATACTATTATGTATTTTATCAATTTTTATTGAAATGAACCAAAAATGTAGGAGGAGTATAGTGTTTAAAAAAAATGTTTGTATCTAGGCACGCGGGTTTCCGCACCGTGCCGACGATGGGGTTGGAGGAATTTGTAATTTTATAAATTTATCATTTAATATTCTGATATTATCGATTGAAAATCACATGCAGTCATATAAAAAACTAACACCTTCTTTAGTGGTTTCCAGAAAATGTTGATCCAATTTTATAAAGTGAACAGATTTTATAAAATGGATTAGATGATGATCATTAGGGCATTTAAAAAAAACAGAACTACGGTATTTTTTTTTTCTGGTGGCGTCTACATAGTACACGTATCAGTCTTCACTTGAGATAAGGATAGAATGAAAAAAAAACCGCTAAAAAGGAAATTCTGTTTAAACACAACTTTCTGCCTTTTCTGTTTTGTTTTATTGATTAAGTTAAAAGCGAAATTCCTGTCTTGGACTTTCTTTAATAATCCCTGTACGATCAGCGATCTGTCACTTCAAAGTCAGCATACCTTGTTAAACTCGGGGTTGAGATTTAAACTATGACAGGAACACACACTTATATCAACAAATCACCACTGTTAGATAGCTAGGCAAGCAATTTACAACAATTACAAAATATTGATACTTTGGGTCATTTTTTTTTTCAAAATATGTTTTCCTGAATTCAGAACCCACCCCCTCCACCACCACCAATTCAATATGTCAGATTTGATATACATGTATATCGTATGTTACATGTTTGATGTAGGTAATTTCTTGGCAACCTCAAACGACTCCAAGCGACAGAATGAAACAAGTAACTACATTGTAATGTCAACTTAACAAAGGCGATCTCGAGATTAATTTTCCAATTTATTAAAACTTTCATTTTCGGATGAGAACGGATATAAGTTGGTCTATTATTATTCTAATGTCACATTATTCTTTCTATAAACATATTGAATTATTCGTATCTATGATCTTTTGTTTGTGTAGCCGTTTATGTTAGTCAGAAAGTGACAAATCGCACCTTCGTTTTCAGTCTTTATCGTTATATCTTTTAGTCAATTTTACAACACGTTTTTTGAATACAAGTTGGTGTTATTGAACAATCCATTACAAATCCCGAGACATGAAAGTTAATGGGATTGAAATGCTTTACTGAAAGAAACTGCATGAAAATATCGATAATTTAAGCTTAATCCGGATCACGTTATTCAAGCTTTAATTCATTGTGTACTTTAAAATATCAGATGTTGTAAAAATTCAAACAAAGAATACATGTATAGGATATCGTCGGAGAAAGTACCTACACAGATGTTGTGCCTTCGGAGACTAATAATTTTTATTTTTACACTATTTTTTTTTTATTACAAGAGCCTGTTCTCATTTTTAACTGAGACACTGTTATGTGTTGCTTACTAGTATTACCGGTATCAGTCAAATCAATACAGATTCAGTAAAACATAAAAAAAATCTGTATATTGAAGTAAACGCTAAGTAATTTATTTTGAACAAAAACTAGGTTACCTATTTATGCAAGTATTTTGCTCATCAATAATATTACATATTCCAGACATTTTTTTTTTTGAGTTAATTGATATGGAATAACAGTTATTCAGTCGCATTCACCGGTTCTTTATTTTCGCGGCAAGGCAATCTCCCGACATTACGTGTGGTCGGGGTTAAGAAGGTTTTCATGTAAAAAATCTAATTTTACAATATCGTTTAGTTGACTTTAAAAAATTGAAATAGAACTACATACTTTATTTGAAAATAGTAATTTGGTAGGTTTTTAAAGAGGAAACAATTTAAGCATTTTAAAAAATGGTTAATAAAAAAACCCAAACCGAATCAAAAATATTCCTTTAAATTTTACTCTGTCCATAAAGAAAAAAATCTACAGACATTGCTAGCAAAATGCAGGAATATAAAATGAACTATTTTAAGCTTTAAAACTTAGGTAAAATAAAGCCCTTTTTCAGCGAAGCATTCAACATAGCCTTTAATGTTATATTTTTAGTTGATCTGGATAAAATATCAAAACAAGATAAACTCAAATAATTATATACTTGTTCAAAAGCTAAATACAAACCCCGAAAATTGTGCATACATGTAACTGAGAATATAACAATATCAAACAGTTTTTATTGCAAAAATAATTACTCATTTTGAGCGGGATCGAATAGTTGTTCTAAAGTAGTTTACATGAGGACAATTTATGATAACTTCAATCAGCATTTCAATTTGCATTAAAAGTTTGAAATTCACCTAATGATTATTTCTTTTTTTTTTTTTTTTTTTTTTTTTTTTGTCCCCCGCTTTCACGAAAGCGAGGGGACATTAAATCTCATTCGTCTGTCAGTCTGTCCGTCTGTCACAAAATCTTTTACTCAAACCTTTGAAAGAGAAGAGATATAGGGCTTTCATATTTCACATGCACATTATCTGTGACAGGACCTTTCCAAATATACTATGATTTTTGACCCCGTGACCTTGACCGTGAAGTTTGACCTACTTTTCAAAAATTTTAACATTACTTTGAATTGGTCATAACTTTTGAATGAGAAAAGATAGGCTAAGGGTTTTCATATTAAATATGCATATTACCTGTGACAAGACTTTTCCGAATACATACTACGATTTTTGACCTCGTGACCTTGAAGTTTGACCTACTTTTCAGATATTTTATCTTTGCTTTTAACTTTTGATTGAGAAGAAATAGAGCTTTCATATTTGACACGTGCATTACCTGTGACATTTTTAAACCCATGACCTTGAAGTTTGACTTAATTTTCAAAAAATGTTTACATTGCTGATAATTTTTGATTGAGAGAAGGTATGGTATTTACATTTGAAATGTTCATTACCTGTTTTAAGACCTTTGATGTAGTTTTGAAAAGCTATATTTTTTTGTCATAACTGTTATTAATTCAATAATTTATGTCATTTTTGTATAATGCACAGACAAGACAGGACACACAAACAAGACAGTTACAATACGCCATATATAATGGCATCCCATCCACTAAGACACCGAAAGCGGGGGACCACAATTCTTTTTTTTTCTCTTTTTTTTTGACGATCACTACATTCTAAATTTAAAGTTAGTCAGCACTTTAACAGAATCTACATGCATTTTTAAATTTGAAACGTAACTTTAAAGAAAATGGATGTCATCGGACACACTTTTTAAAGAATATGCCTTTTTTAACAAAAAAGATACAAAAAGTGAATTTACAAAATAATAATAATAATAATTTCGCAAATTGCAAAATGATTCTGAGATTCCTACCGGATCGAGGCGTGAGAAAGCTGTCCGACCGACCATGCTGTCATCAGAGTCCGGAGTCTCCGTGTAGTAGCCTGCTTCCGGTCCAGAGTTTTCCGTAGAGCAGCAGACGATGACACTATCCTGCAGCACCTTTTCTCTGCGTAGTGACGTCACACCATCTCTGCTTTCCCTGCATTTAGAAAGGCGGTAAAGTATCAGTCTGGGATTTCGATGATTATAGCCCTCCTTTCTGATCATCATCCCTCAGTGAATAGGAGGATCAGACAACTAAATGATTACAGATCTACCCACGCCAAGATAAATCTTTCTTAAATTGTGAGCCATAGTTTTTATCCCATTGTAACAAACAAAAATATGAATGTAAAAATCCTCTTTCTTTGTGTTTTCATATGAAAGAAAAGTGATGTTGCGGCATGCAGAAATCCCCTCTGAGGATAGTCCTCAGGCCTCTCTTCCAAAACATCTACATGTACACTCGTCAGCAAGAAACAACATCTACAATCCTCAGCAAGAAACAGAAAAGTTTCACAACTTCAAGTAAATCAATATGTTCTTCATTATAAAGTCCATTTCAAAGATGAATAAATTTATCTAATCAATCTCTCGTATCAATTTTTTTTTCGAAATATAAGGCGATTTTTTTTAATCATTAAAGTTCGATAACGACTTTGAGTGTATCTATGAAGAAGCCAATATTTCTGTTATACAACTTAGAACCAAAGTGAAAACAATCGTTAGAATTTTAAGAGCTTTGTTATTTCCCCGAAGGTGAAAAAAGACAAACACTTAGAACACAGATCGAAGATTATGAATAGGTAAGATTATAACGCTCCACGTTTGCTTTTCTCATTTAGGAGCAGTATATACTGTAATAACGATCAGAATTAGGTTACGGGAATAAGGGGTCGAACAGGAACTTATTCTAGAATTATTGCAATATTTTGGTCAAAGTAACTCTTAAAGATTTTCTTTTTTTTAAATGAATATTTGGATTTTTTTAAAAGACAGAGCTGAAATTCTTGAATAGAGATGGTTAACAATGAGCAAGCAAGGTAAACAATAAAATCCCATATCGATGTTATTATAGTTGAGTAAACGCTGTGCAAAAACAGAACTCCCTGATCAAACTAATGGTTTTGGTAGACAAAGAAATGTAGCCAAACCCGATGAAAAGGTAAATTAAAACTTTAAACACGTTCTCACCAAATACATTTCTTAAATGCGTACATGCTCAGTGCAGATACGTGAATTTGTCAGATGAAAACCGAGTAGAAAATTAAACTTTGGAACTCAAGACATTAGTATCAATACTTCAAAGACGACCCAGAAAACGAAATATATCAATTACTGTAGATTAATTGTATGGTTAAGATGATATTTGACAAAGTTCTACTTGTGTGGCACTGTTAATCATACATTTTCTAATTAGAACGTTTAAAGTCAGTTTTAAAGCAATGTCATAGGTAAAACCTAGCATTCTGTCATAGGTAAAGCAGAGCATTCTGTCATAGGTAAAGCCTTCTGTCATAGGTAAAGCCTAGCATTCTGTCATAGGTAAAGCCTTCTGTCATAGGTAAAGCAAAGCCTATAGCATTCTGTCATAGGTAAAGCAAAGCCTATAGCATTCTGTCATAGGTAAAGCCTATAGCATTCTGTCATAGGTAAAGCCTTCTGTCATAGGTAAAGCCCGGCATTCTGTCATAGGTAAAGCCTAGCACTCTGTCATAGGTAAAGCCTTCTGTCATAGGTAAAGCCTTCTGTCATAGGTAAAGCCTAGCATTCTGAACGATAAATTGTTTCAAATGACGTTAGCAATATAGCAACGCTGCTCATGGTTCCGAACATTTATCTCTCCGGCAGACGCACATTTGTTCTGTCGCCGGAAATGACATCAAAACATAACCGAAGATGCTTAAACCGAACCAACCATACATTGTAAAGGAGACACCTCACGATATTGGAAAATCGGACCAGAGATCGATACGCTCCAGGAAGAATGCCATTAAGATTTCTCTCTTAGATATCAGTATCAAATAATCAATCTCTACTTTGAGAAATTGAATAATCCTTCTTTAGTATTCCTTTTAAAACCAGAAGTCTCTGATGAGACTGTAGCTCTACTGGTCTGTTTTTATAACAAAAGAAAAGTAGCACTTGGATTTGAAACATTGCAACATGCAACAATAAATAGAATTATGTATCTTAATGTAGTCTACTTTTGTGACAAGTTATATTGAAATCAAATGAAAACTAGGAGTAGTAGCATTTTGAAAGTATTTCACGGAAATTTCTATTTTTAGTACCGGTAACCATGACAACACCACTCACCCAAATAAAAAAAAACAGAAATACATATTATGTATCGTAGTGTATTCTAACTGTGTGCCAAATTAGATTGAAATCAGACCAAAATTGTAGGAGGAGTAACGTTTTAAAGGAATTTCACAGAAATTTCTATTTTAAGTAACCATGGCAACACTGTTCATCGAATTCAAAATCCAATGCAATAAATTATGTATCTTAGTATAGTCTTCTTGTATGCCTAATTATATTAGAAGCAGACTAAAACTGTAGCAGGAGTAGTGTTTTAAAGGAATTTCACAGAAATTTCTATTTTTAGTAACCATGGCAACACCGTCCATCGAAATCAAAAACCGATGCACTAAATTATGTATCTTAGTGTAGTCTACTTGTGTGCCAAGTTATACTGAAATTGGACCAAAACTGTAGGAGGAGTAGCGTTTTAAAGGAATTTCACAGAAATTTCTATTTTTAGTAACCATGACAACACCGTCCATCGAAATCAAAAACCAATGCACTAAATTATGTATCTTAGTGTAGTCTACTTGTGTGCCAAGTTATATTGAAATCGGACCAAAACTGTAGGAGTAGCGTTTTAAAGGAATTTCACAGAAAATTCTATTTTTAGTAACCATGGCAACACCGTCCATCGAAATCAAAAACCGATGCACTAAATTATGTATCTTAGTGTAGTCTACTTGTGTGCCAAGTTATATTGAAATCGGACCAAAAATGTAGGAGGAGTAGCGTTTTAAAGGAATTTCACAGAAATTTCTATTTTTAGTAACCATGGCAACACCGTCCATCGAAATCAAAAACCGATGCACTAAATTATGTATCTTAGTGTAGTCTACTTGTGTGCCAAGTTATATTGAAATCGGACCAAAACTGTAGGAGGAGTAGCGTTTTAAAGGAATTTCACAGAAATTTCTATTTTTAGTAACCATGGCAACACCGTCCATCGAAATCAAAAACCGATGCACTAAATTATGTATCTTAGTGTAGTCTACTTGTGTGCCAAGTTATATTGAAATCGGACCAAAACTGTAGGAGGAGTAGCGTTTTGAAAAATTGTTTACAGACAGACGGACAGACAGACAGACAGACAGACAGACAGACGGACGGACGACGGACACCTTACTTTCGCATAAGCTCTTCTGCTCTCTGACCAGTAGAGCTAAAAATGAAACTCTGAAGAATAGCTTGTCGATTATCTTTCGCAGGTCTCGAGGTCAGGGCAGTGATTGGGGTTTCCAAGAAGATATGCCCATTTGATGATGTTCGAAACGTCGATGATAAAAAAAAAAGAATTCGCATTTAGAGAGATAGAAGAATACTTATGCATGAAGTATAATGAGAAAAAATTGGGGATGTTGGTTTCAATGCACCTTTTTTAATAACGTTGTACTCTACAAAATTTAGATTTTTTCAATTTAAATTTGTTTATGACAATTGTAATTTGAAAAATTCTAAATTCTTGTAGAGGACAACTTTATACAAGATTCTTCTAAAATGAGAACAGGTGAATCAAGATTACGACCAATTTAGGAAATATTATCTGATTGTCAATATTTTAAAGACACCAGAACTTAATAAGCCATCGACTTTTTCCTGGTGTTCATATGCCTCGTTCAAAGTAACAAACCTACAATACTCAGTGGTGCATACTGAACGAGGAACATTTAAAAAGGAATGATGATGATTTAAGATAGATGTACAAATGTACCTACCGCGATAATTTGTCCTTTCTGTCGAGTTTCTGGTCGTCAAATGTCCAGAAGTTCCGGTAGGCAGTCGTCGTTAGAGTGTCTGCCAGTAACTCACTGCACATGTACATAGACCCCATAATTATCCAGCCAAAATCATTTCTTAACAAAGAGTGGGGAAAGGGTCATCAAGAATTTACAAAAAAAGTTCAACAAGCTGGAGCCAGTCTCAAATCATCATAGAAATAAGTCCATTTCAAAAAAAAAGTTTAATGCACATAACTCCTTAAAAAGTCATTAGTTCTTTTATCATAACAACAATTAAAAACGTAATTCAAGTACTTCCATGTTTGTCAGTCTGATTCTTCTTTAAAATTTAATCTCCGCGGATCAAGGGGTATTAGTCATTTTTGAAGATTTAGAAATAATATTATACTTCTCAACTCAAATTTTCATTGATGAACATTTCACGAGACGGACAATATTTAAATCAAGTCTCTCAAAACTATATTTATATAAAGACCGCAGTCAATTCCATTTACTTGATTCTTCTTTGATGGTTATACTCGTATTAGTCCAAGGCCTAATTTGCTGAGAAAACAGTATCCATGATAGAAGCGCCTCAAAACGAAATTACACATATATCATAATTCAGGAGACTCATATCACAACATTAAGTTGTACCCCTCTACTTCTTTTAATCGTGCATTTTGACCAATGCACCATCCATTCGTTGGAATTACTGGTAAGTAGGGAAACTTTCCATTGGCTATCTTTGATTTGTTATCTCCAATCAATACTTCCGTTTTTGAGACAACAAATCCTCTATGGCAGACACTAATACTTTGGTTAAGGTTAGGACATTTTATGGAGATACTTTGACATAAATTTTCAACCTAAGACATGTACTCCAAGATTGCGTTGTCTTGGTAACTATATCTTTCCTGAATTTTAACAGATCACTTGAAAGATAGAGCTCAAGAATTAATCACCATAAAACGCCCAATAAAACAGTTAAAGAAAATACGCAGTCCCTAATAAGGATCCACAGAGGCTGTTATTTCCAGTATCCATGTTGTGTCTCGAGTAGTCGGATAAAAATGGATAGGGATTCCTAAATTTATCACTTGTCTTGGGTGAATGAACGTGCTCCATAATTACTAAAAAGAATTATCAAGAAACGAAATAGTTTTAAATAACATTCTTGGGATTTGATCCGATTAAATATGTTCCCATTCACTAAAAAACCACTGACTTCAGGCTTTCCTTAATTAGATCGGATTTTGTTGCACTGCTTAACGCAATTACCTGCTTTTTAATGGTCCGTCGATAAATTTGC